TTTTTTCTTTCCCAGAATCCTGTAGTACATAACTTACAAAGAGAGTTAAGCATGGTCTTGTGCCAATTCTAGCGCATGTTGTGCCTTATCTAATGTGATCAAAACACTGCTTTCTTTAAACATAACAGTTCCTGGAGAAATGCAGTTTTGCCTAGATCAAGGAATTAAAGGTTATGATCTCTGGATTCCTTAGTCCGTTATGCCATTTACTTTCTAAGCTTGGTGCAACGTTTAGTATCCATATGGTTTAGTTTACCCTTCTTTACGCTGGCCATGGTGCACTTGGTGAGTGTTCAGTACTTGATATAACTGAGATGAGAAGAAACGAAATCTAAACTTTATTCAAGGGCTGGATTAGCAAGTAAACCAACCTCCCCTTAGTCATAGTTGTCACAGTACTACAGAATTGTATGGACACTGTTGGGATGAGCGACAGGACTTGTTTTGCGGTATTTCTAGATAATTGTGCCTGCTGGCTGCCTGCATTAAGACTTGGATCTTCACTTGCTATTTACATTCCTTTTGAGTTGATAATCCAGTTTGACTGAGCCGTAAATGCCAAGAGAGAAATGCTATTTGATAGAATTTGTACTGAAAAGCCAGTGTGAGTCCAAGGGGGAAGCAAAGCCACTAACAAGTTCAAGCTGGCAAGGGTTCTTAACCAGAACCCGTGCCAGGAAACTGTGGTGAACTACGAATTTGCTGCTGAACATCATGACTGCCCTTTATCTTTATAATGGGTTTAACCGAAACTAGAAATAAACACATCTGAAGTTCTCCATTTTTGCTTTACCAGATATAAACATTACAGTTTATGTCAATGTCATGATTTTTTTTTTTTTTGTTGGCAGCTAATGTCCTTCAGACTGGTGAAGAAGGATCGTTTCTATTTTATGGGAGGCAAAGAAGGATGTTTCACAAGTCATTACAGCAGCAGGGTACTTACTGGTATGGTGTGTGCAGGTTGCTGCCAATGAAATGATGCAAAGAGAGGATAAGTGGGTGCTTTTTAAAATCTTCTCATAGAAATACAAATTTTGTGTAATGACAGGCAAAAGAATGTCCGAAAATTAGTCTTCCCCTTAAAAGCTGATCATTTGTACCTGAATTTAAAACAAAGAACAAAGCTAACTTCTTTGGAAGACTCATTTTAAATCCTTGTCTCTCTCGGTTTTGCACTAATGATTAATTTCTGCTGCCCCCCTGTGCAAAACTTTTCTGCCACTGTAAAAGTAGCAGGAGCATTAATGATAAGCAAGGATGTTGCAAAAGTATAAGTGAGTCAATTCTATATGCCTCCATTAAAAAAAACAACCAAACAAAAAAAGCCCCCAGGCCCCCACAACTCCACAACAAAAAACATTCCTGGCAGAAATAAGATTTAAGAAACTGCTTAGAGGTCTAAGTCTCCAAAGAAGTCTGCCTCCGAGTCTGACAAACCTAGATGCAACATCTTGAATTCCATAATCCCCAAGTGTGAAGTCGTATCACCTGGTTCTTTACCAGTTTTGTTCAACATAGATATTGTTGTATATTTTCTTCTTGCTCCGGTTCCTGTAACTATTATGAAAATTATAGAATCTTATGCTTGAAAATACCAGAAATTATTTCCCCTGCCCCTAGCTAAATGGGAGGACAGGTATGCACTGAGAGATAGAAAACACAATAAATAACTTCCATGTCTACTCTAAATTAAACACTTCGGAGCAAGTCTTCAGTCGCAAAGCACCACCAGACTTGTTAATATTCAAGTTGTACTCGCTACAAAATGACTGCAGGGGAACTGCCAATACTCTGCGTACCTTGTAGTTAGTCATGTTCAGGCATACTTCAAAACATGACCCGTAGTTTTGTCGAGGGCAGTCCTGAGTCATTTGTATTTTTAATAAGGCGATACATCTGTGGAGATGCATTGGGGGAAAAAAAAAAAGATGACCAGGACTCAGTCATCTTTTTTCCTTTCGTTGTATTGATGGGGATGGTGCTGCTACACTGGCTCCATCCCCTGTAAGGGGTCAGCATCCACATTACAAGTAGGCATAGCCTTGCTCTTCTCCATTTTATATAAATTAAGGCTGACCTTTGGTCCCTGGCAAGCTGCCTGGTTTGTGTTTATAGGGATGGTAAAGACCTGCTTGTGCAGTAGCAGTTCTCCATGGGAATAGGTCTTTCCTGACTCTGATGCAAATTTGCTGTGGGTAAATGCAGCCTCTGGATGAGACGGGAAGTTGTGTTGTGTTTCAAATCAAACCTCTTGGAGGTTTTAATGGTGAAAAATGTTTCTATTTTAACGCTAGTTTTGCTTTTCTTGTTGTTCTTTGTTATATAATGGTTGAGCCCACAAATTAGAAGCATGAGACTAAGAGCTGAAGAATGAAGGAAGAAACAAAAAGCCATATGGCAATAGCAGGAGGTCCTGCCACCCCACCTTAGGCTCGTGACAACATGCCCTACATTTAACCTACGGTCAGAAACTAATTAACAACACAGATGGAAGTGAGCTAGCATATGTATTCAAAATAATACCCCTAAGGTTTTAATCAGCTGCCCTGCCTCTTTCTGGGTTAGACATCTAAGTTACCATAGAGAGACTGGTAAAATAGTGACTGATACATATGGCTAAGGCAGCTTTGTGCAGTGGCCGAAGGGAGGGATTGGGCAGTCCAGGATAAGTTGCTTAAATGTCTTTATGGGCTTCAGCCTACCCTGAAGGGAAATAGGATTTCTGATGTGGTTCCTCTTCACCTAAGCATGTTGAGCTTCAACAGTTGCAACGCACTTCGGAAGCTTTGATAGTGTGTTCTCCAAGAAATTTTGTGCAAGTGGAGAGTCACAGCAGCATAAGTACCAGGCCTCTTTGCTCTTGCAACTTCTAAGTGTTTTTTTTCCTCTCTAGAACTACTAATTATCTCTGATAAGACAGCTCTGCTTTTGATTTTGCATAGGATGGTGACTTCTAGATAATCTGTAGTGTTGTGCAGAGATTTGGGAGAGGGAGAACACTTAGCTGTTTTCAACAGACTAGTTGGGTAATCTAATGTGTCTTGCTTTAACTTTCTCTTTCCTCCCTCCACCCCCAGCTATCTGAAGGGAGGCTCTCCTTCCCTGCAGGGCAGTAGGATCTGCTTATGTGAAGGGACAGGTATTGGAGCTTTTCTAGAGAAGTGTTTATTTAATGACTGAAATCCCATATACAAACCTACCCTTTGGAGCTTAAGGGCTCTTATAGTGAGAACAGTATGCTGGCAGCAAAGCCACTTTCTTCAGCGGGGGTGTGTGTGCATGAAACAAGACACCCGAGCAGCAGAGGAAAGTTAGGTGGTGTTGGGCTGGATTTTGCATACTTCTGTTTATAGGCATGTCTGGGCTATTTATGTGCTTCTATCGGTGGGGGAAGGGAGGAGCTAGTCTGCACACCTAAAAGCTTTTTTTTTCCTTCCTCTTTAAAGCGTAATTATTACCAAATATGCATGTATCCCTCAGGAGTCCCCAGTGTGAGGAAGCTCTTTTGCTGAAACCTGTCACATTGTGTTCTGATACAGCTATTAGCTGTAGGTTAGGTGTGGGCCCCATCTGATTTTTATGGCCACATAGGTACTGGGCCACCTTCACAGCTGGTATAAATCTATGAACAGAGAGCAGTGTGGATTTACACAAGGCAGTGACTGTGTCCACCAGAATTGGGTCCTCTGGAACATACTGCTTCAATGAACCTCAACAGTTTTTGTGGAAATAATTTCCCATGATTCCACAATTTATAGTTCTATCTGGTGGCAAGTATGAAAAGTCATGAACTGGGTAAACTGCTTGTTTAATTGGGGAGGGGAAGGACCAAGGGGAAGAATCAAAGTGATTCACGGGATCCACAGTGTAATACTCCTCTGTGAAAGAAATTACACCATTATACAACTAAGAGAAGAAAGGAGCCTGATTAATTATTTTTTCCTGCAAGGCTGCAGGTTTTTTTTTTGTGTTTCATTACATGCTTGTACCTTGAGCAGTACAACTAATGAAGCCTATTTTCAGACACTTGCGTCTTTGCCAGATGTACCTCCTCACCCCTTCTAGTAATTCCAAACCCTTTTCCTCTGTGGAGCTTGTGAAATGAAAGCAACAATACAGAGTGTTGTAAGTCTGTAAGTGGCCCATACACTGGTGTTTGCCTGACTAAGGATGGCGGGGGGAAGCTTATTTGGGTGGGTCTCAGCTACTTGCGTGCTAGTTACAATGTATGACCGTGGGAATACTGTTGCCTGTGATTCTTGTATCCCTCTATTGAATCCAGTTGAAGTTGACCCTCAATTTTTTAAAATAGATTAGGGATAGAGACCCAGGCATAGCAATTGCAAAAGTCTTGTTTCAACATGAAACCACTTAGAAGGTGGAAAAAAAGCTGAAAACTGTAATGCTTTGAAATCTGTGGTATGCTGCATTGTCATGAAAGAGCACTTCTTGCTGAAGTATTTTTCAATACAGTTACGTTAACATATTAACATAGTTTTCCAACAGTGTTCTCTTCAAAGATAAAGCCGTTGTCACAGCAGGACACATGCAGGACTGGCTGCCCAGTGAGGTGGGTTAGCTTCCTGATGAGTACATCCTTGTTAAATACAAATTCCTCATTATTGCATTTGTCTAGGGGGTTTTGCGAACTTACAAACTTCTGCTCCTGATCTGGTTGTTCTCACATAACTTTGGACTTGAATACTCCCAGAAGCTGCTCTGGTACCTCAGTGTAAGCTTTTATCCCTTGCCCCTCTATGGGAAGTGTTGGACTGTCAGTAACTGGACTGAGCATGTGTTGAAAGAAAGTTGCACACGAGGGCGGGCAGCCAGAAGATGACTGATAACACCACTGGCAAATGTAGGCATATTGTTAATACCTGTCAGGGCTCTGACAACAGGCATTTCCAGTTTCTGGTTCATGCACATCACGACATACTGATCTGCTTCATTTCAAGGGCTGACTATGGCTAAAAGCAAGGTATTCTCTTACAGCAATGCCACACAGAGTCAGGGTCTCAGCAAAGGTAAGAGCCTTACGTCAAATGGGTATAGTCCTTGCTTTCCTCCCTTACCCTAGAGAAAGCACTGCCTGCCCAAACCATGGGTACCTGCTCCATCTGATGCTTGTGCTTTTTAACCATTGATATTCCTTGGCTGAGCTTCACTTATGTTCCTGTTGAGTGCATAATGTTCTATAGGTCCTAGGAAGTTTGCCACTTGCAGGAGAACCGATGGGTGCGTGGGATGTTTTACATGCTGTTCAATAGTTTATAGGCACTTGTAAGATCCAAGCTCAACTGGTAGAGCAGCTTCTGGGTTGTTCCAGGGCTGCTGGACACATGTCACAGTACAAAGGATCCAACTCATGCTAGTTTGCACGCAACGTGCTCCGTTCTGTTCCTGCTCTCGGGTGCCAATTATCCTTGACTTCAGTGGGAGCTTCATGTGTGTACTTGGCAGAATAGCTTAGTCCTGTGACGATTCAGCACAGCATTTCATACCAAAGAGCCCTAGTGAAATGGAAGACAAACCACAGATGCTGCTCAAAGGTCTGAGGTTCTGCCCTAACATTCTTCTGTGCACAGGTTGAATTTGCATTATATAAAGCTCTAGTGGCTATCAGAGCAAATGATTTTGGAGACCTGTTATTATTTCCTCCCATGGAGGAACCAGATAGTATCTTGGCACGGGGTAATTATTTCATGGAACGCTTTTGTGGTTGTTGTCCCTGTTTTGTGAGGGGTTTAGGTAGCCTGTTATATAGGTGAACTTGCCTTTCACTTAGGTTGCATAATGGTACTTCTGAATGAACACAGTAATGGCATGAAGGTATATTGACAAATACTCTATAAAACAGATTGATGCAGTTTTCTAAGCCTGAAGTCAGTTTTGAAATCGGTATTAGCTGATGCTTGGGTTTCAGGCTTGGAAGTCGCATCCTTGCTGTATGGTATTTCTGGCACGGCAATAGGAGTACAGCATGTTACCCTACCTGTGATACTCCTGATGATCAAAACCAAACCTGCAGGTAGTGCTTTTATCTGAGGGGGACTTTCACTGCATGCCTTGGTATTTCAACATGAAATTTGGGCAAAAAATGTCGTGGCAAAGCATATCGTGTTTGATATGCGTAGTGGCATGCGCACAAGTACCCTTTTGGAGTTGAGTTTCTTTGTTTACGGTGGGGATTGCAAACCGCCGTGCAGTGTGAGTGCCCTGCGCACAGAATGCTGTACAAACAGCTGAAAAGGCAGTATGTGTGTCACTGGCTCAACAATCAGTTCCCATTGTAAAAGTACAACAATAGTGCACATCTGTTCTCTTCCATGGGTGTTGTCTCTCTGAAAGCTCTGATACCATCTGTGAGTCTGGCCTGCTATTCCTTTGCTTGTGCATGCTGCCAAAATTCATCCTGCCTGTTTCCTGGTATGGGCAGAATGGGTCTGAGATACATCCGACAGAAATCCTACTGGGAACTCCTTGTAGTCCTGCACTTGGCCAATTTAAGTATAAGCATGCTTGTAATGAAGAGACTGTCTGGTCTGTGCCCATTAGAGCAGCTGAATTCTCTTTCTCAGCTTTGAAGCAACTGTGCCCTTTGCATGGCTCTTGTGAGTGTCCAGAAAGGTATGATAAAAGTTTGTAGGAAATTCTGATACATTACATCCCTGGTCTTTCAGAGAGTTATGTCATGGCATTATTATTTTGCCATTATTTTCTTTGAGTTCTTTCCCACCTCTGGTTGACAGGAGAAGTTGTGGGTTTTGTATGCATTCGGGGGAGAGTTTGATAAAACCTTGGAACCCCGCAAGAACTCCTTGTAGTGCTTTAAACTGATGCATAGTTCTCCACAGCCAATGTAGGTATTGCTGGAGTTGCTTTGCCCTTGGAAGCTGTACCATAGGCAACATTTAGCAACATAAGATGAAAGCAAATTTCTTATGTTAAAAGTTGTAGTTTACAAACTACTTGTAAACTTGCTTGCTATTTATCTTAGCCTTCAAAATGGTTCTTCATCTCTGCCATCTCTGGCATTATGGCTAAGCAGATTTTATTACCTCAGGGAAAACTAGCACGAGAATAAAAATAAAATGGGTTTCTTCTTCCTGACATGAAGAACCAACTTACAAGAATACAAATTGAGTGTGGGTGTGCATGTGTATGTATGGGGGGGGCGGAAGGGTGCTTTATTTTCAGTAATAAAAAGTAATTATATAGTTTGCTGCATAAATAGCCGCAAGGATAACCAGAGTGCGTCAGACATCCAGTTATGCATGTGTTAAAGGTTAATACTATTTGTTCTCAGTACATTTAGTCTTCGCAAATCATGTGCTGACATGCATCCCATTTTGGTATCTGTTCACACACTCTGGTAATGATGCGTAGAGCAGGAGCTCATGCCTGTGCCATTCAGTAGTATTTAGTAAATTGAACTTTTGTATAAAGGTCTTAGAAAATGGCAAGGCAGAAAATGAATGTCTTCTTGCTGCTAATTTTATCTTACACTGCACGCTCCTTTCTGGAGATTAAAGCATTATGAATCTATTCACTACTGAAAGTTATTTCAACTTTTATAGCACATATCAGGATGCAGAAAAGCAAGTACATGTTCACAGCTGTTCCTCAGGTCTCTCTGCTGGAAATAAAACCTGTTAAGCTGCTAGATTTCTGCTTAAAATAACTAAAAATAATGAAATAAAATAATTAACTGGTGAATCCTCATTGACTACAAATACTGAAATAAGTAGTACAGCTAGGTAACTGACTGTATATGTAAACTAGATGTAGATAACTGACATGACCTTCATTTAACAAGCCTCCTTCCCAGTAGTGGAGATGGCTGCCACAATTATGTGCCCTTATTCTAGCTGTAATTGTATGGACTTTATTGAAGTACAAACTAGGTCACGTCTTCCTGAGATCTGGTCCATGGTGGGTGACCTCTTTTTATTGCTTCAGCTTTGCTATGCTGCATGGGAGAAGGAGGGGTGTTCCTACAGCCATGAGAATGGATGTTGTTCAGGAAACCAGTCTCAAATGTTATTTCAACAGAGACATCTTGTGTGACCTGGGGGAGTAGCTTAAGGCTAGGTCTCAAGGAGGTTAGCATACATCTATTTTAAATAGCTTGTATCTCTTTTATACAAGTTAGTAGGTGTATACAACAGTCCATGGGACAGCAACTGGATGAAGATTTCCTCTCCTAGAGAGGTCTTTGATCTTTTATGCCTAGTGACATAGCTGAACAGGAGGAGTGCAAAAGCTGCAGCCTTTAGTTGTCATTCTTGGAAAGTGGGGAGTAGGAGACCTGAACCTCTTACAGCCTAGAAGGGCAGGGATGGATGCATGACAGGACTACAGACTGAGGCTGTATCATGAGTGATTTTATTCTGTGTTTTTCTAGGTGCATGCCTGACTAAAAGCAGCCATGGCTAGTCTGTCTGGCATTTAGTTGTATTGATGCTCTCAGAACAAGCGGTGTCAGCCAGGTTGCTCCAGTTAAATACTCGGCACTGATAAGCCTCCTTGGGAAGTAGTTGCTCAGCCTACCAGGATAGCACCAAGCGTGGGTGTACACAGAAGTACTGGGACATCTCCATGCCAGGACTCGTGTTGGTGGGTGAACCCAGCATGGGAATGGGCAGTACCTTGCTCAGTAGTAGCACATTGGGTAGACCAGGAAAATCCAGTCTTCTCCCATGTTCTCACCCCAGTTCTGTTTGTGTGGGGTGGCATGGTGACTTCCTTGTAATCAGAACGGTGTACATAATCTGTGTGTTTGGGGTTTACAAGGCACTTATTCATAGAATCATAGAATTGTTTAGGTTGGAAAAGACCTTTAAGATCATCAAGTCCAATTGTTAAACTTAACACTGCCAAGTCCACCACATTGTGACAGGACAGGCAGTATCTTTAATCTTTGCAACATGGTGAAGGTTTGATAATTGGGGAGCAGAGGAGAAGGACTGGAAGCTGCCATCCAAAGTGTTTCCAGTGACCTTTTTGGTGAAACGTTGGGATATTAGTCCTATCTCACTAAGTAAGAGATGAACCGTGCATTCATGAGTCAGTTCAACAGTAGCTGAAAGGTTGTGTGCTTCTACCCATGGAGTGAGATTTGAATCTTTTTCTGCTACAGCATGATAAAATAGTAGATTTTAAGCAGCTGCTACTAGAAATTGCTATGGCCTCTAAAATGACGAGTTTTCCTAGATGTTAAAATATTACTTCCTCATATCAAATCACTCGATATCATTTTGCTGCCAAAGACAAGGACTGTGTATATTGCACAAGTCACTGTCAAGACAGAGAGAAGAATCTTTCCACATCCTGCTTGCACAGTTCAGCTTAGTTTTTATTTACAAAGAAGTAGATGTTTGATCTGTGGTTTCTTGCTAGCAATATTCCATGTGTCTGCACTGCTAAAGCTTACTTTGACATACTCTTCTGTCATAAATGGGAGGAAGAGGGGTGGCTCTTAGGGGAACACTGTTTTTTGTGTATTATCAGTGTGTTATGTGGATAATGGCTGTCTTAAAGTTGTTGGTTTTCAGCACCTAGTTGTACATTGTTTCTTGCTACCCCAGATAATAGCGGCAGTCGTATGTCATCGGATGGGATGTAAATTGATCAAGTTTGACAGCGGTTTCCTTCCTAAATGGAAGGCAAAATTGATTCAGGAAGGATTAATTTGCTGTGAGATACAAAGTACTGTTAGATCTGGTGACCAGCCAGCCACTGGCAGAGGATGCTGAGGGCTTGAAGTCTGTTGGTGAGGTTCCTCTGCACCTCTCTGTCCTCTGTCTTCTTCCTTATAAGAAAAATGTCCATGCAAACAAAGTTGCACAGCCACTGCTCTATTCATTTCACATCCCTCAGAGTTCATTGCGACCGTAAGAAGTAAACAGCCCAATGACAATAGTGAAGGACGTGGCCTGGTCCAGGAATCCTTCTATCCTTTGTTCCCTTACCTACCTTGAAAAGCACATGTTGAGCCTCCAACCGGTGCACTTAGCTGATGGATACAAGCTTCTCTTCCTCTGTTTTGTGCTTGTCTTGGTGCCTCTTGTGCTGCGTCCTCTCTCTTTTACACTGGAAGGCCCTTTGGGGTACTTTTGCACTACGTGCTCAGACAGAGTCTGTCCTCCAGAGTCAAGATATTGGCTGGGACCTCTGGGCACTACTCTAATAAAAATAACAGGAACTTGATTAGGAGCCAGAAGATCTGTGTTCTGTTCAGTGCTCTGGTGGTCACAAAGCATGATACGGGTGTTTGGGATTTTTTTTTTCCTTCCAAGTTTTATATCAAACAGTCCTCAGAAGATGGAGTGTATGAATTTTATTATTTTTGTTGCCCATTCCACTGGCTCTGCGTTTGTATGCCAGCTGAACTACCTCTTCTCCCTCTTGTCTTGTCTCTCCTTGTTTGATAAAGGAAGACTGATAACCTTCTTCCTTGTGTTGTAAATCATCTCTGTAGTGTCTCTCTTCCTCCCCTTTGAGGAAGAAATCTGTTACTGCTCCCTGTAGAATGCTTTAAAAATCCTCGGATGAAAAAAATCTGCAAAATATTAATGTTCTGCATGGTTAGAGCAAACACTATGTTCCTGTGAGTCACAGATGTCAGGTTTGTTTAATCTTAATAAATCTATGCCACAATAACACTTTTAAACAGGAAGAGAGATGGAGGGATGAAGAGTTGTGCTGGGGCAGAGAGGATTCTTAGCCAAAATCTTGTTTAGTGGGGAGCTGGGGGCGTGAGGGGGGCATGGACACAAACCCAAACACTCCCACACATGCGTGCTTCATTAAGTAAACTTTGAGACCTACATTTTGGGCACTGCCTTTCTAGTCCATATTTCATTTTGTTTGTGTGTTTTATGATAGATTGTCTTTCTGTCTTCGAGTCTTAAGAGTACTAGTTTCCCACACCATATTTGCAGGAGATGAAGTAAGGCTTTTTACATAGCACCCTGTTGGCAAACAGAAATAGCATTTACTCCAATGAGCACTGCCAAGTATGAGGTACTTCCGAATGAACTTCAAAAGCTCTGAAACAAGCATTAGCTGCTGCTTCAAAAATGTGAACAATGCCATTGCTTTCTAGCAAGCAGAACTGGTGAGAGTAGGGATCGGAAGGAGGAAAAATAACAGCTGGATGTGATGGATGTTGTAGTAGCACTTGGGATCAGACAGAAAGCATCGTGCTCTGTCACTGCAGGATTTGGGGGCAGGGGGGTGTCTTGTTGTAAGAATACCTAAAGTGTGTACTCTGCACTTGAGGAAACAATTTCTACCCTGAGGAACGTAGAATCTACGAAGACTTAGCAAAGTGCTTGGGAAGGAGCAGTGATAAAAGCCCAAGCTGTTGGGAGCACTGATAGGAGCGAGTTGTGCTGATTGCAAGGCTGGTGAGGAGTTTTCTTACTGGCACTCTGTCCTCATGTTCAATGTCCTCCATGCTCAATGAGGACAGAGCCAAACATACACATAAGCCTCAAGGCACGGCCCATAACATGCACCAGAACTTGGGGCAGAATGTGAGAGAAATGGGCAAACTGCTGGGTTTCAATATGGCAGCAGGACTGGTTGTGCTTCTGGTTTTCATGCTGACCTCTGGGCTTTAACTGGGTTTAAATAGGTGCTTTGCCCGCTTGAGAGCAGGTGGTGTGGTGCTCTGGGAAAGTACAGTACAGTGGTTCTGGTACTGTCACTTCATCAGCTCTGTAATCCAGCAAGTCCCTTCCACGGCATTCACATGATGCAAGCAATCTCTCCAGCTCAAAGTTAGTGTGGTAGCAAGCATACTGTCCTGGACCATTTTATTGTTCTATATTTATGCATACATACCTTCTACTTTTAGATGAGGAATTGACCTGCTGAGACCTCAGAATTTGTACGTCTTCTTCCTGTGTTTTGAAGGTTGCTTTCGAAACACAAATGCAGTTTATCCTGGTGCTGTTCAGTTTCTTGTAGATAGAACAATGAAACACTTTTGGCAAAGAGGGATCTTAAAAAGCAAATATTTGCATTTGCACTTGAAATGGAAGTCTTGCCTTTCACGCTTGCAAAGCAGCCTTTTACTGCTGAAATGTTGCATTGCTAAATACCAGTTCTGCTTTTGCTGTTACTTGAAATAGGTGTAATCAGTCAGTAAATAAGGACTCTGCATAGTGTCTAATGTAATACTTATTACAGAAAGACTTTGGCACGTCAGAACTCTGACTTGCTGGTATCAATGTTGCCTAAGCTTTGGTATATGCTTTATCTGAAACACTAAATCAAAGAACACCCTTGTACAAGAGTATGCTTTATCACCAGTAATGAGTTGCGGCTGCATGCAGCAGATCTCTACAGAAAATGCATAATGTCTCAGGACAGCTCAGGTGAATTTTTATTACTCCATCCCTTGTAAGTAAAATTTTTCTTTTTCTTGTTCTTGTCCTTAACAGTTCCACCAAGTGAGAAGAGTGATGACCATCCTTTTCCTTACTATGGTTATCTCATACTTCAGTTGCATGAAAGCTGCCCCAATGAAAGAAGCTAGTGTAAGAGGACAAGGCAGCTTGGCTTACCCAGGTCTTCGGACCCATGGGACTCTTGAGAGCCTAAATGGGCCCAATGCTGGTTCAAGAGGACTGACATCGCTGGCAGACACTTTTGAACATGTCATAGAGGAGCTTCTAGATGAGGACCAGGACATCCAGCCCAGTGAGGAAAACAAGGATGCAGACTTGTACACATCCCGAGTCATGCTAAGCAGTCAAGTGCCTTTGGAACCCCCACTGCTCTTTCTGCTCGAGGAGTACAAAAACTACTTGGATGCTGCAAACATGTCCATGAGGGTCCGGCGCCACTCTGACCCAGCTCGCCGCGGGGAACTGAGCGTATGTGACAGCACGAGTGAGTGGGTGACGGCGGCAGAGAAAAAGACTGCAGTGGACATGTCCGGGGCGACTGTCACAGTCCTGGAAAAAGTCCCGGTACCCAAAGGCCAACTGAAGCAATACTTCTATGAGACCAAATGCAACCCCAAGGGATACACAAAGGAGGGCTGCAGGGGCATAGACAAGAGGCACTGGAATTCCCAGTGCCGAACTACCCAGTCTTACGTGAGAGCTCTCACCATGGATAATAAAAAGAGAGTTGGCTGGCGCTTTATAAGGATAGACACTTCCTGTGTATGTACATTAACCATTAAAAGGGGAAGATAGTGGGTTGGTGTTGTATAGATTATATTGAGACAAAATTATCTATTTGTATATATACATAACAGGGTAAATTATTCAGTAAAAAATAATTTTATGGACTGCATGTATAACTGAAGTTTATACAGTACAGTGGTTCCACAATCTATTTATTGAACATATCCATGACCTGAAGGGGAACAAAAGTCATTTGCGCACAAGTTTAAAAAAAAAAAAAAAAAAAAAAAAAAAAAAAAAAAAAGAAAAATGAGCAAACAAAAAAGTCTGCATTACATTCCTCAATAACGTTGTGGTTTGTCGCCGTTGCCAAGAATTGAAAATATAAAAAGTTTAAAAAAAAAAGAATAAAATTGCATGCTGCTTCAATTGTGAATTGATGATAAACTGTCCTCTTTCAGAAAAATAAATTGAACCAAAACATTCCGTTTACATTTTAGACAGTAAGTATCTTTATTCTTGTTAGTATTATATCTGTTTACTGCTTTTAACTTCTGGTAGCGTTGGAATTAAAACAATGTCAAGGTGCTGTTGTCATAGTTTTACTGTTTCTCTTTTACTTTTGAACTCCCATCAGATTGAAAAGGAAAAAAATTCTGGATTAGAAACAAATTTGGTTTTTGTATGTTGTGAAGGTGTTTGCAATAGCAATCCAACCAATGACAAAAAAATAATAAAAAAAAAAAAAGAGGCAACTGAAAAAGAATGGTGATGTTCCACTTCACATTGTTCAACTTCAGGCTTAAAGACAGTACTTATTTAACTGTATGGCAACATGCTTTTTGGGGTTTTTTTTTTAATTTTTTTTATTTGCTGTCTTTTGAGACCTGCATTTGCTTATACCATGTTTGTTTGTGTTTGGGTTTATTTTCCCCTTTCCTCCCTCTGGAAGGATGTTGGTTGTCATTTTTGAAATATTTCGCTTACCGTGCAACTGGAGCTTGTCATAGAGAAAATATTCTATAGAGTGTTGAGAGCAATGATTTTCATGTGTAATAAAAGACTTTATGCTTGGATCAAATGTCCTGGTGAAGAACAAGAATGCCACTAGGAAAGGGTCTAGCAAGGTGACAGCGGATCTGAAATCAGGTTGGTCGTGGGCCTGGGTAGCTCAGCCAGTTTGGGGACAAATACCACTGGTTTGGGTTGACTGAGTCTATCCAAATGGTAGTGGGCACCAAATGTGGTCCTGGGCATCCTTGATGAGGTGCCTTGCGTGCTGAGGCAGGTAGCACCACCTCACCCTCCAGGGCCTGTCTAGCAGCCTCAGGTCCTCTTCCCGTGCGAACTGCAGTGGTGTCCCTGCCTATAGGAGCTTGGGGAAGGCGCAAGGGAATGAGGCAGGAAGGTGCCCTGCCTCTAGTTGAAAGCAATCAGCATTTATGTTCACATGGCTCTACCTCTGCTGTCAGCTTTATTTTATGAAACAAATATTGGCATAAAAAAAAGTACTTGTAAGTGAAGAGCAAGAGCTGGAGAAGTTGGCTTAACGTTGCTTAGGTTCTCATAGGTGTATGTAGCCCTGCCACCACCCCTCTAACTATCCTGACAGAAGTATTTCTAAAAAGGCAGGTTGTAAGTCAGAGCTGTGTGTAGCACTTGCACCGACTATAGTGGGCAGAGAGGCAGAAACAGGTCATCAGTGAGCTCACTGGGGGCAGATGCTACATTTTCTATCTGCTATATTTGTAATTTGTAAGCTCAACAAAGAGGAAAATACTGCAAAACATAACTGATTCTGAGTGCTGCAGGATCTGCATTAGTCTGCCTTGCTGTTGAAGTTAATTAAAAACCTGGACTGGGCAAAGCTTGTTTGAAATGTGATCCCCCTGACAATTCTCTTTGAAGAATATATTTAGCGCTGAGTCTATGTCATTTCTAATAGAAACCCATGCTGGAAGACTAACAGAGACACCTTTGACGTGACTGATTTCTTCTGCTTAGGGTAGAAGGGCTCCCCCTTCCCTAGGATAACTGACTGTCGAAGGAGAACCATCCCAACTGTAAAAGGAAAACCTTTTGCTTTGGCCACGTGCTTGCTGGACCACGAATGAGAACAGAGGGTTGTGTAACCCACCTGAACTTCAGCCTTCCCGATCAGTTGCAGGTATTCAGGCCCTCACATAGAAATAAAAAAAAAAAAACCAAACTCATTGAAATGTCTCAAAACTTCAACTGAAGTACTCTTCATGCAAATTGAACATTGGCATAATGGAGAATTTCATTTCACTCTGGCCAGTACCTGTATGTGTATTCTTTGTATTTAATGACCCAAACGCAGCTCAGGAGCTATGCTTGGCAGTATTCCTAAACCACAGTAGAGAGATGGGGTAATGGTGGCTCCCCTCAAAACCAGGGTCTGTTGCTTAGGAAGGGGAAAAGATGATGCTAATGGGTGAATAACAAACAGATCACTCATCTAGGCTGGAAAAAGAAACAGTAGCTAGGATGTGACAGTAATCTAATTCAGATAGAGGAATAAAATAATTCCCAGTTCAAATAAATTGAATTTCCAAAAGGGAAGTGTTAATGCATAAGTCATGCTAGAGACAGAGTTCCTCATTTCCCAAAGTTAACGATGGCAACACCCTCCAGTCAGAAGTCCTCACCCGGCGCAGGTCAGGGTGGCGCTGGTGTGGCAGACGTAAAGCAGCAGGATGGTGGGTTCAGAGGCGCAATGGGCAGCCCATGCGGGTGGGGGACTAAGGGATGGGGCTGAGAGCCGACAGAAGAACCGTGTCCCGTAACCACGTCCAGAGAGCGGTGTTCCCCATGCTACGCCGGTTCTGTGCCTACTGCTACAACGTGGAACTGGCAAATAAACTGCAGTCCCGTGGCTCTCACCTGCCTGACCGAATACATCCATGACCACAGGCTTGGCAGTTTTAGTTAAAACAGAGGTGGCGGGGGGGCGGGGGAAGTTGTTTTCCTTCATGTCGCTTAATTAAACTCTTGCTGTGGTCTGTTTGTGACAAAGGTATATCATGCATGTCAGCAGGCCTAGTGCTGTGTTCAAGTAAAGACTCTTGCAACTGTAAGTTAATGTCTGTGGCCTTGTTCTCTATTATTCACCTTGTGTAACATAAATATTTATTGTATATTTATATAATTTTATGTTTTTTGGGAAAAACTGAAATTGGCATTAAAATTTAAAAGCAACTGCGTCATACTGTAAATATAATTAAGCTATATTTAAGTGTACTGATTAACATAATATATGTTTAACTATAGAGTTTTTTATGTTTTTAAATATATTTTCAAAATATATATATAAAACTTGGGGTTTTTTGGGGGACCATGTGACTCTTTTCTCTAATTGTAAAACAAACTTGAGTTTTACTATAAAGATGTGTGTTCTTTGTTTTAAAACAATTTTTACTTTATTTTAGCAATAAAATCTTACTCAGAGGGCAGATAGCTCCCCTGTTTCATAGCCGGCCAGTTAGCATTGGGAGGGGAGGGGTGGCAAGAATTTACTTTCCATAAAAGTTGGGGATACTTGCAGAATGACATATTTCCATTTAATTCTAGCATACAAGTCCTCATGAGACTAAAAACCCATGAATGACACACATATATGAGTTTATTCAGCCGTAAAATAATGAGGGTAATGGAAGTGAGGGGGAGGGGTTACTAACCATAGTAACTAAGGAGTAAGTGAGACATAAATTCAATAGCTATAGTCCCATCATGTACCTGATTTTTAAATGGTGTCATGTGTATTTATGTCTCCTGTGCTGAACTTATTTTTGACCCCACAAAGAACTAGGAGTGGAATTCCTTGGATTTAACATATTGTTAGCATTTCTAAAAGAATATGCTCTACTATAACTGCCAAGCCTTTGTATATTTAATTATCCCATAGCCCTAGAACAATCAATAAATCTTCATGATGAATAGAAAACTTTCATATAACTTAAGGGGGAAAAAAAAAGCACAAAACCCAAGCTCTCAAAAAATTCCATTGCTGCAAATTTCCCAAGAGCCCAGTGCCAGCACCGTCTCCACAAGAACCGAGGAAGTGGTGCTTCTGCAGATTATCATTTATATTAAACACACATGCGTGCACATTGCTTGCATTATTGTTGTCTTAAAATAAGCTAGCGGAAGCAGGAACAGATACTCAAACCATCGGCGCATGGAAGGATGGAGCCACCTTATTACTGCACCACGTGCCTGCTCCTGGCTGCGGGAGCCAGCGCCGCTCGGACCCTGCCGCCTCCCCTAGATAGCGCAGAGGTGAGTGAGGCTGCTTCAGCTCATTTCACTGTTAAATATGTGCCATAGGTACCGAGGGAATGGAACAGGCACCCTCAAAATACTTAGCTGAACTATGGAGGAGGATACGGGAGCTAACCTTTCATCCATACACTCTATTGAATCCTAGGGGAAAAAAGAAAGATATTTCCATAGCTTTTATCACTTGGAGCAGAAATAAAGGCATATAGCTAGGCTTTTAAATCACTCATCCAGAGAACAACAGCAAACAGTAAAAGACAATTTTTTTACAGAGAATATCAAGGCTACATTTAAGTGCAATGAGAGGGGGAGGACATTTATTTCAATTTATCGCAGGTGGATCCAATACACTACGTCCACAGGCTCCTTCTCCTAATTAAGATCTCATCAAGAAGACACCTTCTGGCAGGGCAATTAAAAAGGAATGGATGCATTTGTTTGGAGTAAATATAAAGAGCACCAAGGCCTCACCTTTTGATGCAATTTTAAAATTAGGAAGGTTCTGTAGGGGCTGTTTTAGAAAAAGAGAAGATTTTTTTTTTTTTAAAGTTTTTGTTTTTTAACCACTTGCTACCATTTTGGGTAGTCAAAGACTGTGGTGTTGAACTAATAGCTTTTTATGATCCTTCTGGGAGAAGAAAGCCTGGAGATGGCATGAGTGGGTCCAACTTTTCCAAGCGAGATTGGGATTCACCTGTGGAATTTGAGATGCTTCTGGGAATCAAGTCTTTTAAATCTCATCCTGTTAGTGGCAGAAAGCACTTGGAGGT